AAAATTCACTTGGATTACTTGCATATTTTGTGGTGATTGTGGAGCATTGGAACTAGTCCTACTTATTAGTGGTAAAATCAATTGATTAGTGTGACTAGTGTGTTGAATCTAATTTTTTGCTCATTATCACTTCCATAAGGCTAGACGCATATCCGGTCTTCTAATAACAGTTCGTTTTAGACGTAAATTTTTCCAAGGCCGCTTCCGCAAAATAAATATTTTTAAAACCAATTTTTTAATTGGTAGCGCCGACTGATTTTAATTGGGATCTATTAACACCCCCCCCCCCCCCCCCCCCCCCCCCCCGCTTTTAGATCCAAGCCATCGTCTAACATTGTATAGGGTCCATTCAGCTATTGTATTCCCACTAGCGTTCTTCTTTACTTGTGTGGCTTTTGACGAATCTTAGGGTAGATTCATGTGATCAATATACTCTTTAATCGAAGTGATCCAAGAAGGAGAGGTTGACCCACTTATTGTCATTACTTCTTTTTCCACCTGTTTGACATTTGGCTTTTTCTTAGTTTCCTGGACGAATGAATGATTGATTTCGAGACCTCGCGTACCGGCCAATCATGATATTACATCGACGAGTGTGTTTGGGGACATGGGCAAATTCATATTCTTTGAAGTTTGCTAACTTTTCTCTAGCCAACTTAAGGTATTGTTGTAACAATGGATCCTTAGCTTGAGCTTCGCCCCAAATTTAAGAGATGACCAACTGGGAATATGTTCTTAATTTGAAGAATTGTGCCCCCACTTCCTTGGCTAACATTATTCCTGCCATTACCACTTCGTACTCAGCTTGATTGTTAGTGGTCGAAAATTTGAATCTCAGTGAGACTTCTAAAATTATATTCATAGGAGGACAGTTGTTAAAGCAGATGCCTAGGATAACATGTATAATTTGTTTATGACATATGAAAGATTTTATGGGCAGATGTTAGATGCGGTGTTTGGGACATTGTATACCAGAAAAACTAGTTTATACTACGAAGTTATAATAGGTTGACTTATACAAGATGATGGAGGAGAAAAGCAATAAGAACACAATAATTGTTAATCCAATTCAGTGCAAACCACACCTACATCTAAGGGACACTCTAATCAAGAAAGGAAATTCACTATCTTGAATTAGTACAATTAGACTTATAGGAACAACAACCCCATGTTATCCAATGCCTCTTCATAATCCTAGTGACTTTCTATTTAGGACTCCTTATAAAAATATTTCACTCTCAATAGTCAAAATGAAAAATGGGCTTACTCTGAACTCTCCAAGTTTAAGGCCCCTCAAACTTGAGGTTTGAGTCTCCTTAAATAGCAATGCTTCTTCGGGGCTTTTTCCATTGGGCATAAATAACTTTTGATCTTGTATGGAAATATAGGATATTATGTTTTGATTTGTTTCTTAAGACCTCCAAATGATATGATTTGTTTTGATACAAATTCAAATTTAAATTCCATTTAAATTGAATTGATCTCAGTCAATATTTAACAAACAAATCCACATAAATGCATTGCTAAAAAATAGCAACAAATCTGATTTAAATCAATCAAAAAATTCGCATCTAACAACAACCATCATGGTCTGCTAAAAAAGGGTCAGATGTTGCACTACACACATGTCGGAACATTGTGTTCCACATGTTGTACCAGAACAACCAAATTAACTCTCTTCATATAAATCTTCTTTGTAGAGTAAATCTTGGATTAAATCAGAACCAAGACTTCCTTCAAAGAAAATTAAACCAAATCTTCTTTGATTAAATCAAATTCAAATCTTTTAATTAAATCATATAATTCATGTTCATGATTTGATAAAATATTTTTCAAATTTATTTGGATTAACAAACTTCTCCAAAAGAAAACTTCTAGATCTTCTAAAGAAATTAACACCATAACAAATCTGAAGGAAATATGAAGATAATCAAAACCCAGTCCTTACGCCATGATGTCACATAACATGTGTTAAACATCTTGCTCAACAAGTTTCTTACAACCAAATCTTTCTGGTTGGCACTTTAGTAGAAAATTGAAGTGATTCTTAGGAAAAAAACACGATCACGCTCAAATTTTTTCATGAAATCTAGCTAATAGACTGAGACAGATGTTGCACACACATGCTAGAATATCTTGTTCTACATGTTGTCTCTACAAAAAATACATATGTTGGAATACATGTTGGAACATCTTGTTCCACATGTTGTTTCTACATAAAATACATCTTGTGCACATTTTGTTTTACCTAATGCATGCATTCAAAAGGAACAAAAATCCCCCCCCCCTTGAAAAATCTTGGCTAAAACAACTTACAAGATGTGATCTTAAATACGTAACACACCATATTACACATCAAAACAAACAAAGAAAACAACGGCAGCAAAAATAGCACATACGTAGGTGGTTGCTACACATCAAGATATCATATTAACACATATACAAAACATCATGTTGGAACATCTTGTCCCTCATGATCATTACTCCCCATTTTTTCCACAATTAGGCACAGGTATGGAAAGAACCACAACCAAAACAACAAGATTTGGGATTCAGAACACAAGCTTGACAATAACAGCAGCCAACCACACTAGCACACATCATCAACCCAAAAGACTTCAAAAAGGAACAATATTCAACAAAGGACACAAAACCATCTTCAATAAAGGAACACCGAAATAGTAGTAGCAGCAAGAACTTAAACAGGTGAAAAAGCTCCAACATTTCTTCATCAAAAACCATATCAGATTCATCAACTAGTACATAAATGTTAGACATTATGTCTAAGACATCTTACCCAACAAAGAACTTATAACTGAAACTTAGCAACCTATGAGAAAAACCACCATTCTTAACCTCAATCTCCTTCGTCAACCTAGGATAACAAGCTCCAACATTCAACACTGTCTTCAACAACTGAGCATCAATATGAAGCTCCATAGCTCCATAATTCATTACACTTCAGTGCTTCAACAAAAAGTTCTTCTGCATCCTCATTTGTAGTTTCTTCAACACATTTTTCCATTGTTCTCATAATTGATTCAACATATAATACCAACAAGTATAGGCTTCCACCTCTAGAAATTATTGGTGTTACTTCGACGGAGAAAGCTTTTTCAGTGGGTTTTGCATTTTTGGAATTCGAAAAAGAGGACAATGTTACATGGGTTTTAGAAATGTGCAAGATTATGTTGAAGAATAAAGAAAACATGCTAAATGTAATTCTCATTGATCGTGACATCATATTTATGAATTCGGTTGCAAAGGTGTTTCCTACATCATATGCATTACTTTGTAAGTATCACATAACCAAAAATGTGAGAAGTCGACTAGAACCTTAGGTAGGCACCAAACAAATCAAGGGTGAAGATGAAGAAATGGTCACACCTAGTGTGGTGTTAGAAAATATAATGGATGCTCGGAATGGTATAATAAATTCTTCCACGCATAATTATATGCCGAATCTGCAATCAGTTTCAGGAGGGTGCGTGCGAGATATTTAAATTTTCTAAAATATGTTAAGAGTAATATTTTGGACCAGGTGAAGAAAAATATTGTTTGTGCCTTTATCGATCAGGTTATACACTTTAAGAATATAACAAATAACAGGGTTGAATCTACACATGCTACACCGAAGAATTGGTTGGGAAACAGTAAAGGTGATTTTTGTCTAGATTGTGATATTGTGAACAAAATGCTCTGAAACCAGCATAATGAGATACAAACTTCTTTTGGTCGGAGCATTACTGTGTTAGAACACCGATTCAAAGACAACATCACTTATTCACAGTTGGTTGGCAACATAACTCGTGTGGGATTGAATTTTATTTTTCACGAAACCAAACGAGTAGATAAAATAGGTTCAAATAGCTCTAAGTGTGGTTGTACACTTAGAAAGATGTACGGTCATCCATGTGATTGTTTAACTGTAAAGGAAATGAAGGTCAACAATTGATACGTATGGATGATATTTACACTTACAGGAAAAGTCTTTGGTTTTATGATGTTGGTGTGATGAATGATCATAAATCAAACATATCTATCATGACCGAGTGAAAAGTGATCCTAGAAAGATTCATGAAAGTTGATGACAACATGAAATTGCACATCAAAGAGTAGTTGAGAAAGATTGTCTATCCTAAAATCATCACCTTCAAAATCAATTAAAGCGAATGATGCCCTTAAAAATGTCAAATCAATCGAGAGTGACAATTCTACGAGACGATCTTTTTCTTACCTTAAACATGTTGACTCACATTTTTAATGTGTCATGAAAACACCCCATAAAATATATAGAGTACTTCTCTTATATATATGTAGTGTCTTGGGCACATTTTAAGGCATAATCAAATCAAATGAATTCTTTATTTTATTTAGTTATTGCCCTTTCTCTAATTTTCCAGCAAATTAGTCACTAGCATTCTATCATGTCCATTGGGATTCATGACTCATGATGAAGACATGCTCGATTCATAAAATGGCTCGTATGACAAAAGCCTAATTTAAAGGAATTCCATGTTCCTCTAAATTGGTAAAGTGAAGTGATAGCATAATTGGGCCTGTATTGGTTTTTTGGAACCACATTGGTCAGTTTTGTCTACACGTTATATTTCATGGTGTTTATATAGCAAGAATTATACAGGCTTTTTTGCTAGTTGATCTTGGTGTCAACCTGTCTTGCATTAGATGAAATGATTAAAGTTTGATTTGTCTATTGCTATACAATGCAAGACATAAATACATGCGTTTAAAGTTAATTTTCATGTTTCTTTTGCAATTCTAGCAAACCTTTTATAAGTGGAGATAATATTTATCTAATAATTTAAATAAATGTTCTGAACTTAGATTAAAAATATAGCTACATCTCGATACACTACAAATACATAGAGAATAACCATGTGTCCAAATCTTCACAATATTTTCATCAATACAGATTTTTTTTCTTTATTCAAAACAAACATATGGATAATCCAATTGCTCAAAGGTGGATATACTTGAAATTACAGAGGCCCAGTTCTAAATGCATTGTCTAGATCAGCGATGAGATCGTCGACATCCTCGATACCAACTGATATACGAACAAGATCTTCAGTTAAGCCTCTGGCCTCGCGGACTGCAGCAGGTATGCTAGCGTGCGACATAAAGCAAGGCAAGCTGATGAGTGATTTTACACTCCCTGCCAATCAAATTAATCAATACGCAATTACTCATACATGCAAGACTTCACATTTTAATCAGAATTCTTATCGCATGCATAAGGTAAATCAAATAATGTTGCTAAGAATAACGAGCAGGGGATATAAGAATTATTACCAAAACTAACGGTTATGCTAAAGTATTTGGTAGTTTCGACAATATGCTTTGAGAGAGCTAGTGAGCCTGTCAAAAAGCTAAACACAGATCCTGCACCTTTTGCCTGGAAAGAGTCATATAAATATATGAGAAAATGAATGCATAGCACAGAAAATGTTACATGAAATTTCAATTCATCAAAAGAAAAAAAAAAACACCTGAGAATAGTGTAAATCTCGGCCAGGATGACCAGGCAAACCAGCATAGTTTACTTTCTTGACTCGCGGATGGGAAGCAAGAAACTCAGCAATCTTCTGTGCGTTATCCTAAGAGGTTTTAACCCAGTATTGAAATTTTGAACAAAATAAATGGTTATTGATCAAATATATATGTCGTATGCTTCTTCAGATATATAATGTTCATGTGCTTACTAAAATAAGTTACAATGTTGACAGATTTAAGAGCAAAGTAGAGGGACCTAAAACATAAGCTCAACTTTTTAACTTACAAATTCTGTGGCAGAAAACTCTATTTCGTCTGTACTTCATTAAATCATATTTGAACAAAATTATACATATCAAGAGAAACAAAGCATGACACTAGTATTATTAGATAAATAGCAGCACTTGAAAGTTGAAATAATGTTTGAAAGAGCACCTGTTGCTTCTCAATTCGAAGGGACATTGTCTTGATTCCTCGCAAACAAAGCCAACAGTCAAATGGAGCTAAGCCGGAGCCCTCTGCGTTTTGTAAGAAATATATTTCTTTTGCCAACCTTAAGAGAATCAACAAAGGAGGTAAGCATTTGAAGGGGAGGTCTACTGAAAATAAGGGGAAAATGAAAGATATGTGTAATCTTTTATTTATCAAATAGAAATGAAATTTTTATAGACTTAACGACAAAAATCGACAACAATTTTAATAGTTAACACCATTCAAATATGGTTATTCATGTTCAGTCGCATATTTTATAATTACTAATGAAAACGTAAAATGAGAAAATATATACACAAATCAATTGCATATAAGTAGAATAATGAATCAAGAGAATATAAAAAAATGAAGATTATACTAGAAGTGCAGTAATAGGTGTTTATGAATAACCTTTTCAACACAAACTGGGTTAAATAAGTTTGGCACAAGACAAAAAGGAGGAAGAAAAAGCAGTAAGAGTAATTTTTTTTCAATTATGTGCATTTAACAGAGAAAACTGACAAGCTTCTTCTTTCTGTAGCTTGCAAGAAGCCATACATGTTTCCTATCAAAAATATCCAGATCATAATCAAAGTCATGATTTACAGCCAGCTCATGAATTTTTCATATCGAATCTTGTGAAGTGATTCACACAAAAGCAATTAAAGCATGCATTAGTTCACATCCTGTAAAAGACCTTGTGAAATTTTCCAACCTATTCAATAAATGAATAGACAACTTTACACAATTGCGACAAAATGGCATACAATCAAAATTTAAAATTACAGTATTCCAATGAATGAAACTTGTACTCAAGTTGTAATGAAAACAATAAGTTACTAATATCGAGAGATCATAATCAAAGTCATGACAGGTTGGAATATTTTTTCCAGAAAATCTTGTGAAATAATTTACACAAGCAATTGAAATATGCTTACCAAAGGATGAATGAAATTCAGATAAAAAGCAACGATGTCAAAGAAATATTAATATATTTAAAATCTGAAGATCTGATAAATATAAAATAAGAGCTACAACCTTTCACCTTTCACCGCAAGCACGCCGGCCATAATATCACTATGTCCAGCAATAAACTTCGTAGCTGAGTGCATGACAATATCTGCGCAGGAAAATTTTACCAACGTCAACTGTGTAAAGTTTGGGCATTAATGATAAAGACAAATGTTTTACTTTCACGTTTTTTTGGGGTGGGATGGTTGACATAGAAATCAAGAGTGAAATTTGATTTAAGTCTAATCAGCTAGTGAGGTGAATTTTAGGGTCCTTTTAATCTATACTTTTATATAGAAGTACATGCTTAGCTCCTTTGGAAATTTCAAATTCGATTAACCATAAAGAAACATACAATGAAGAGAGAAAATGAGAGCTTGCATTCATCTTCCATGGACAAAATATTACTACTCAAATGTAAATCGAGAGTAAAAAATATTTCTCTTCACTAGTTGTAGTAACTTCACAATTTTTCCTTTAATTACACACCTCAATTTAAAGGAGTCGGTCCTTTTTTCTTCAAATATATTGCAATGTCCATTGAAAATGAACAGAGCTTATCAAAATTTAAAACTATGATATCAAAACATAGCCATTGCGAATATCAGGAAGCATTGATAGCAACTTCACCAATGTAGTTCATGATTTTAGAGTAATAATTCATTACATAAAAGTTAAAACAATGAATTTTTTTCTCGCAAGTTTTGGCCAGTTTAGCATGCAATTAAGTTAAGTGATGTGTAATCTGTTTATACTTCAAAGCTATACCTGCTCCAAGTTCCAATGGCTGGGATAATACAGGTGACATTATACTGTTGTCCACCAACACAAGAGCACCATGTGCATGAGCCATTTCTGCTATTTTCTGGAGATTAATTAAAAAAATAAGAAAAAACAATATTTTATTACTAAGCGAAGGCAAAGTCATTTAAATAAAATACTCACTACAATACACCATTACCATAAGGAGAACAGTGGCAGAGAAACTTAATCAACATAATTAATACTTGAGATTCTTACTCGAATATCAGAAATTTGTATCCGGGGATTGGTTGGACTCTCCAGCCATACAAGCTTAGTCTTGGGTCCAAAAGCAGATGCGACCTCATCCAAATCACTTGTATTTACCCGTCTGCAGATGCAAAAATTACAATTCTATCAATGATGGACTTACCAGTTACTCCTCACGGACTCAAGAAACATGGCAGATTTGTTTCTATACTGAATGATTGTGCACAAAGTAAATATGTCAGACTAACATAAATCACACTAACTTCACCAAAACTCCACTCCTGGGAACTACTTGGGACAGCAATCTATCTGCTCCGCCATACAGATCATCACCGGCAAGAATTTCGTCACCTGTAAGTATATTATTGGGAATAAATATTAAACAGCAAGAAAAATAATCAAGTCTCTGTCAAAATGAATAAATATCATGTTAGAATTCAGACACATGGATATTAGAGCCCCACAATAGCAGAAGAAATATACAACATCTAAGCTTGGCCCAAAAACAGTCTGCATTACTGCTGATGCAAATTTTAAGACAACATGAGTTAAAAGTATAAAATTATGTAAATTCATTAGTAAAAAAAATATATATATATTTAGCACGATTAGTTGTTTTTCTAGTATAATTATAATTTAACCATGAAGAAATATGCACTACTTAGAACTTACTATTTAATTAAACCTAATTTTATGACTAACATAAAGAGATAGAGATATCTTTCATAAACATTCAGTGAATAAATAACAACAAACCCAACTGGGCATAGCATATGTACATTACTTTTTAGCGAATGAAAACATATATTTAATCCAATAAACTAAGATCAGGTGTTAAGAAAGAAAAAGCACCGTTTTTAAGAAGGTGAACAACAGCAGTCAAAGCAGCCATTCCACTGGTGAAGCAAAAGGCTCTATCCGCTTTATCAAGTTTTGCAAGAATGCTGAAAATGCAAAACATGAAAAGGTCACCAAAATAGAGATGAATCATCCACAATTGCAATACAAAACATAAGCCAACAAACAAGTCACGCCATACCTTTCTAAAGCATCTCTAGTAGGATTTCCACTTCTGGTATAGTCATAGGGACCATTTTCTATTGCGGAAGGCTGCACCAAGATACATAAATTACCATGAATGAATACTACACAGAAGAGATAGTAAATATGTACATATGCTAGGCACCGAATGATCTTTCAAAGTCACAAAAACAGACACATCCAACAAAGAAGAAATTGTTTCACACAAACTCTCACCTGCTTAAAAGTAGCAGTCTGGTAAAGCGGCGTACTAACTGAACCATAAGGATCAAACTTACTCTCGAAATTCATCACCATTGTTGAAACGCTCGGCTCCCTTAGCTCCTCTTCTGCAAACAACAAGAGTCAGCATAAACCCTAAACCCATAAAACAAAAACCACTACATACATCTTGGATATTCAAAAGCACAAAACAAACCATTTAAGCACTCAGCAACAACACCGTCATCCACTAAAGCAGAAGTGCTCACATCCATCTCTCTATCAACCGAGCAACGTAGCTTTAACCCGTCTGCACACAACAGCTTATGTGCTCTGAAATTTTCCGACTTGTTAAACACCAAGCTATCCCAACTCTTTCCAGAAATTATGGTCTATAATTGAACCATTACACATATCAACCTCAAACACACACAAAATTATACTACCTCTGGTCCTACTTATAATAAAATAAAATAAAAGAATCGCTTTTTAGATACATTGATTATTCAATGTATGTGAACTATATATGGACCATATACATTGATTATTCAAATGTATTTAAAAATTGAACATTTTCTTATAACAAGGTTATAATAAGAAATGGAGTATTAAAAAAAATGCAAATATCCCAAAATTGTGCCCTAAAATGAACCAATTCAAATGAGAAGTGTGATTATCCCTATCAATACAAAATTCCAAAAATTATGCTCTAGAATACATGAATTCAAATATGAAATAGTACTAAACAAACAAGAACCACACGTTTCGCATCACTTATAGCATGAAGCGGTGATAAGTAAGCAACATTTAGAGTTCAAATCGTTACAAGAGTACATTTTTTATGCAGGTATAAATTTTGTTGCAGTTTGAAGGGAGGATAAGATATAGTGGCGGTGTTTACCTGAGTGGGGCGAGAAATGGAAAGCGAATTAGGGAAGGGTTTGAGAGAGATCGAAGAAGAAACCATTGTTGGTGTTTAGAGAAAACAGAGAGTGATGTCTGTATATGGTGGTGCCCACTGCTTGTTTCAACTTCAACATGGTAGCGAAATAGGTTAATAAATAGCTGCTCAGCTTAAATCTAGTAATTAAAAAAAATAAGAATAATTTGGGTGTGCTTAAGTAGAAAAAAACTTTAGATCGATTTTGAGAAAAATTTCATCTTATCTAAAGATAAAATTATTCATGATTCAATTAAATTTTGGATAACAAGTTTAAAATATAATCTCATCTTATCCAATTTTATGTGGTTTAATTTAGATTATCTTTTAAATATCTAAATAAAAAAATTGTATTTCATTATTAATATTAATAATATAAAAATACTTAACATAATAGGTTTGAAGTAATATAAAATAATTAATATATTAAAAATTAAAATTACAAAATAAAAACAACCAATTGTGTTTGAAACAATTGAAATAACATGAGAGTCTTTACATTTAATCAAACATTCTCCCTAGTGTTTCTATGTATTAATAATATGAACATGATAAACTTAACGAATACAAATTTGTCGCGGTACGAAAAATATCTGAGTGTAACGAACACTCGAAATACAATAAAGTCGTCATCGAAGTTTATTATTTTATGGAGAAAACGTCGATAAAACCCTAAAAAACAAAAATATGGTTATCATAATTAAATTTGGGTTCAAGAGTCGGTTATGCGAGTGAAAGGTGTTAGCACCCTTCACATCCGTTGTACTCAATGAGAACCATTTAGTTAGTTTTACGAATAAGTGTTAGCGTACGTTATTTGATTTATTTTAATTATTACTATGTGTTTATAAAAAGAAATAAATGACTAAAAATAGATTTTTTTTATTAGGGTGCTTGACAAAATTGTGAGTCTTGCCTCTATGTATCCTCATGTACGATGGAGAATTCAAAGCTACGTAGTTTTAGGAAAGAAAAATAGATTTTTTAAAAATATTTTTATTATGGTTCTTGAAGGGAAGTTAAATCTCGCTCATACGTATCCTCAGGTGCGATGAAGATTCGAAGCTACGTACTTTTGGGTAGAAAATATTTATTGGTTGGTCGATTTTAGCAAAATGTATTTAGTTGCATTTGAGCGGAAAACATTGCTTACTACCACAGCATGAAGAAGTGAACATTTGTGTCGTATCAAAATGGACAACATAACTCGGATTCTCACAGATTTATGTTCTCATCCCATTCACGCGGAAAACCTTCCTTACTACTTGTACATGGTAGGAATGAAGCGTTTGCATCTTCTTGGAATGGGCAAAGCATCTTTCGTTTATGAAAAGTTTTGAGATTTGGTTGCACTTGATCAAAAATGAGTTTGATTGGTTGAAAATTTTTTTAGGCGGATGACGAGTATTCAAAAGGCAATCTCTAAAGCTTGTATTTGAACACTCAGAGAAGAAAGAGACATACACCCAATTAATCTTTTTCGGGCGATATTATTCTAAAATATGTGAGGCGAATTGAATCACAGTTCCTTAATGGAAGACGAGTAATCGAAGAGCAAGCTCTATAGCTTGAATCCAAACGCTCGATGGGGGAAGAGGCCTACGCAAAATTTCGAAAGACATGCTCTATAGCTTGTATATAAACACTTGAGGGAGGGGGGGGGAGGTATAAACCAAATTAATCTTTTTTCATCTGATTTTATAGAGAAAAAAATTTTGGTTAAGCAAAAAAAGAAATACTTGATTTTGATAAAGTTTGAAATTGATTTTGTTAAAAAGTTTTAACTTCTTTTTTTTTAACTAAATAAACACTACTACGGAAAACACCTATCACAACAGTTGGTAAAGGGATACCACCACGTTGGTCCAACTGTTGTAAGGTAATGTGTGATTGTATGTATAGCTTTCCAGCACAGACGTGCGACCGTGGTTGTATCTATGTAGTATGGTACCTACCACAACAGTTACTTTAAACAACCGTTGTGATATTCTTTAACGCAAAATATTTAATAACGGTTTTTCTAAACAACCGTTGTGATATATACACCTGAGTTTATTATAAATTATGTGGAATATTTATTTCTCCAATGCTCAATAAACATATAACCTTTCAAATTGAACTAGAACATTATAATGTGACAAATTAAGTTATATTAGAAGAACAAGTTCACGTTCAATGTTTGACAAGAGTTCTTCAACTCCTTATCTGTATTTTGTTCTTTGATAATTAGAACTTTGTTTAATTATCCTACTTCTTCAACCACCCATGTCTTCACCTCTAGTTCATTTTGCAAAATATTATTTACTTTGCATACAAAATTAGAGGTGGAGAGAGGGGTGTTTGAAGAACTACAATCATTAAATAAAGTTCTAATGGTTAAAGAATAACATGCAAACAACAAATTGAAGAATTTTTGTCAAGCATTGAACGTGTACATGTTTTCTAATATAACTTTATCTATCATATTATAATTTTTTAATGCAATCTGAAAAGTTATATATTCGGTAAGGGATTGAAAAAAAATACTCAAACCATATAATATATAATAAACTCATATTTTAAACAAACATTAACAACAACATTCATCAACAACAAACCATAAATAACATACACGATACAACAAACATATCAAATCATAAAATGCTTCATAAACGTACTATACATGTCCCATAATGGCGTGTCCACAATGAAAGAAGGATGAAGCTAAAGTTAGAGCCACAAACTTGTGTCTATTTTGAATGGATGTTATTATGGATCTTTCACACAAGTTTCCAACTCTAACTTTAGCTTCATCCTCTTTATTGAAACAAACATCCCTACCTACAAGTCAAAACAAGCAGAAAGTTCAAAATTATGAAATAAGCAATTGAAACATAAACAATAATACATAAATAGATTTTGAAACAAAAACTATAGTGAAAACGAATTTGTAAATAGCCATTGGCTAAGATTTGATGTTATGGTTTCGTTTTGGGGTTTCCATATGAGAGACACAAGTGACAAAGATGTTAGGGTTTCGCTTTGAGAGAGACGAGTGAAAGAGTTGTTAGGGTTTTATTTTGAGAGAGACGGTTGTTATGTGCTGAAGCGAGAGATAATTTTGCTTATATATAAATAAGTAGCACCTTTCACCATGGTTTAAAACAAGAACTGTGATGAAATGATTGAAACTTACACCACGATTGATTATAAAAATCGTGGTGATATACAAGGTTAATCACATTATTATCATGATAAATGGAAAGTTGTTGGTGTTGCGATTCAAACCATTTCATTCTAGGTGCATTTCACTACGGTTTTACATATGATCGTTGTGACATGTCCTTTAGTAAGCGCCCAAAAATAAACTATTATCACGGTTAACATGAAGAACATTGTAAAATTGGTGTTACGAAAGGTCTATTTTGTAATAGTGAAACTAAAACAAGAAAAGAAAAACAAAGGGTGTGATTAGATGGCCTTGATTGTGTAGTCATATTAAATGAACCCCAAGGAATCCTGGCCATCAAAACACGATCCATTGGCTTGAGATCAGGGGCTCTAGTAGGGACTCAAAACCTCGTGTCCACTAGATCAAAATTAACTTTGATCAAAATACAAAGAGATGAACGACTAGGATTCGACTGAGAAGTCATCTCCTTCCTCCCTCCCTCTCAAACCCAGAAGCAACCTCCCATGAATATCAAATCGAATTGGGAAGTTATTTCCTTTCGTCGTTCATCTTCCTTCTTGTACAAATCACTCAGTTCTCACCAACACTCGTGTTTCTCAATCCTTGAGAATCAAGATTGTGATTCTCATTGATTTCAATCTTCAATTCAATGTGAATTTGAGGAACAAAATCAATAACACACCTCATGTACACTCGTGTTTCTCTATGAATCAGAAGTGGAGCTCTGGATACCAATTGTTAGAGTTAACAACGAAACTCCATTGACGCACAAGATGAAAATGATGAAAAAATGAGAGAGAGAGAGAGAGAGAGAGAGAGAGAGAGAGAGAGATTTTGTAACTAACTTTTCTAATAAACTCAATTTCTTTGTATTCACTGTTACTTCTCAAATGTGTATTGCAATCAGAGTGAAGCTTCATCCTATATACATTCCAACTCAAATTGAATAAAAACTAAATGAAACTGAAATGACAAACAACTTGAATTTAAATTACATTTAACAAAAACCATCCATTTATTAAAAAAAACAAATTTAAATACTAATTCAATCATTAAAACTAACCGATATTTTCCTCTAAAGACAGAAATGACAAACACCTTCCTAAAACGCATACTTAATTGCAACAATTTAGATTCAAACATAAATAAAATATTCATCTTAACAATATTAATATTGTCAATTGGACTTTTATTATACAACCAAAAGCAACATTAAAAAAAAAACACAAACCACCTAAATTTAATTAATCGATTACTTACACAATCTTTTTCTACTGCCAAACACAAAAGGATATAACCAAATCACAATCACAACCCCTACAGCTTTTACACATCTTTTCCAATTTTTCCCTTCTTCCATTCTCACTTGCATTTCAATTATTTGAGTTTTAATAATCTCTATATCCCTCTCAAATTGATTAATTTTAACTTCTACATCTCTCTCCAATTGAATAATTTTAGCTTCTATATCATTCTCTATCTTAATCTTCATATCTTTCACATCTTTCTCCATTTGATTAATCTTAGCTTCAAGCAACTCAACCATTGTAGCTTTTGATTGCAACCCAACCGTTCCAGTTTGTGCCTCCATAAATTTATCCTTCTGCATGAAGTAGTTACAGTGTGGCCTATTGTGTTGCTGTAAAAATTAACCAAAATTAATAAATGATCTAATTTGAGAAAAATTGAAAAAAGTGATTATTCACCTTAAAATAGGGACACCTAAAGATCTGTGTATTAGGGTTCTTAGATGTCTTTGAAATGTATAAGATGCACTTTTTCCCACACTTGCATGTAGGAGCAACAACACTTTCATTAGCATCAACACTTGAAAAACGTTCACTCCAATTCACTT